TAGATAGATACTTTATTTATTCCACACTAGATTCATGCTCCTGTTTCCGAGAGTGAAAGATCAAATTCTTTTTAGTTTAAAGGTCTCTGGTCCTAGACTCATTTTATTGTTATTAGCATAACATAGACAAAATAAATAACATCAAATTCAAACATTATCCTCAACATTATCCGCCATGAGTCTGAATTGGAGGGTAATAAGTTACAAAAATAAAATCTAAGAACAAACAGAAATAAATGATGCTCAAAATACATTTACAGTTTAATCTAAAGCTCACCCTTGCAAGGATGTTTAAAACATTTAATTGATGCAACAGTTTTCCTGTCCTTATCTGTGAATATCAACAGCATTTAGATACCTATGATTTTGTTCTGCTAGGCTTTGTCACAAACGAATGTTCAGAATATTTTTGAAGACTCGTTTGAAGTTCCCATTGCAGAGCGGGTATATAAAAGGGTTGAGAGTGGAGTTGATGTAACCTAACCATATGGTAAACATGTGTAGGTCATGGTGCACGCATTCTTTACAGAACGCCATGACCATGAAAGCAATGAAGTACGGTATCCAACACAACAAGAAAGCAGCGATTATAAAGCCCAACTGCTTGGCTGCCTTGTGCTCCTTATGGATCCTCAGACTTTGGATACGCTGACGTGATTGGTCAATAAACTTTTGCCACGTCTGTCTCAGGGTCACCGCATTAGCCGGGTCCAATTTTTCATCTTCAACCCCTTCCTCAGTCCAAGGCAGAGCCTGACTGGGGTCATAATTGTTGTAGAGCACAGAGGTATATCTCTGCATGTCTGAAACCTGACTGATATCACAGACACCACTCACTGAGTTTGGCACTGTGACGTGACATTCATTTAAAGAAGCCTGAAGTTTGTTCTCGTTATTCCCCTCTGAGCAAATTACATCCTGCGGCACCGAAGGTCGACTCAGGGGAACCTCAATGTCTGACTGCTTCTCCTCAGGAGACAAGGAGCACCTTTTGGCCTTTTGTGCCATTCTGAGTCGTTTTGTTGTCATGGCAAGAAATGACGTCTGCTGGCACTTTACACCAATTTTTCTGTGAGATCTAGATGAAGCGGTTTTAGTTTTATCGCCATCCTCGAGGGAATATGCCTGATCTAGGGTGTTCTGGTCTAACAGGCGTTGTTTTTTAGAGTGTGTCAGTGGAACCTCACATTCCCTCTTGGGTGATTTGGAGTCACTTTTCACAGGCGTTTGAGCATTTTGTCCATTCTCATTTTCCCCAAATGAATCTGTTGGATGAATGATTCTCTCTCTGTCCCTCAGATGTTGCCTTACTGCCAAGTAGATGTGTGTGTAAAACCAAAGCATCAAAATTGAGGGTACATAGAAGTTGAAGACGGCAGTAATAACCTTAAACCACGTGACAAAGCGGAAATCTGTGTCACACTTGTTCTCCTCCTCGGGTTTAAGGTCTACATGAGTAAAAGACCTCCATCCTAAAATAGGAATAATCCACATCATCGACAGCAGCCAGGCACCCGAAATCATCACGCTGGCTTTTCCCCGCGTGCGATATTTCAGGTACTTAAGCGGCTGTCTGACAGAGCGGTACCGATCCAAACACAGGATAAACAAGCTGAAAATTGAGGCTGTGCTAGCCACGTAGTCCATAATGAGCCAAAACTGACAGACAGCCCGCCCCAGCTTCCATTCATCCTCCAACAAATACACCAAATTCAGAGGCATTACTGTGGTCCCCACGATTAGATCTGCCACAGACAGGCTGACAATGTAGAGGTTCCCAACAGTGTGGAGGCTCTTCTCTTTCTTAACGGCGTAGAGGACAAGCAGGTTCATTATGACTGTGAGGAGAGAAAGAAGTCCCAGAAAGACACCCAGCAGGGCGTTGTGAAAGCGCTCATGCAGGGTCAGGGTGTGATTGCTCCTCAGTGAATCACCATCGAAAAGGCCGCTCCAGCTGTTGTTGCTGTTATTGAGGTGGAGAGGGTCTGTGGAAGGTGACAGACCAGATTCCATCATAATAGGTGAGATGGTCACCTCTAGATCCAGTCACATCATGAAAAATTGTAGGCAAGGGTGTCTGTTAGCCAACTCATGGAACAGTAGGTTTAAATCTGGTGTGGAAGGTGTATTTACTCAGTTTGGATCCAACAATTACAGCATGATGACCAGTGGACCTTTAGGTTAAATCCTTAGGCTTTCTGTGTTGTCTATTAGTCCATTAATTATATAAATCCAGACGGTTATTACCTGGAAAACATAAACAAAAAACATTAAAATGTGTCAAAACTCAAAAATGTCTTTCACTTATTGTTACTTTACTTGAATGCCTGACCTTCACTGTACAGAATGATGTATGTGTAGAGTTTGACACAAGAAGACTGTTTTCACATTCATCTGCTGAAGGAGGAAAATTTCTCTATACTCGACTTGGATCTGAGTCTTAATTTACATGCACATGTGAGCATAATTTTATGACAAAATTACTAATTTGGAAGCTAATCATGATCCAATAGGCAACTTACACAAGTGTGATGTGGAAACGGGAAGCCTTCCATGCACTGAGAGTACTCAGAATGGACTTTTAAGTGAAGCAGGAGACAATTGGTGTCCAGCTGCTTTACAAGTTTTACAATGAAAAATATTTACCTATTGAGACATTCCAGATTCTTTAATAAGGAAGAAAGGGTATATTGTTGTGAAAGAAATATTCAGATCCTTTCGTTAAACCTAGGGAGTTCTTAACTGATTATTCAACAGTCTCAGTTTATGCCTCTATATAACCTACATAAGAACACTAGATCATCAGCAATGATCGTGATGATTTCTTTGTAGTTATTTTTAATGCCTTTCGGTCACATCCCCCTTGAAATCAAATGAAGATGTGGTAGAAACACTACTGCCTTTGTGAACAGGGGTCACCAGAATTGACAAAAAAAGTTCCTTGCTGCTTTAAGTAAAGGTACAAAATATATCAATGTAAAATCCTGTGTTCAAACTCCTTGTCAGGAAAACTACATTATAGTATTAACCATTATAGCATTAAGTATTAGCAGCCAAAATTGACCTAAAGTATCAACAGTAAAAGTACTTGTTATGCAGAAAAATGGCTGATATATTAACATTATTAAATACTGCTGTATCAGTGTCTACTGTTAGGGTTAGCTGGTTAAGGTGGAGCTAGTTTTAACTACTTTACATTCAGTTAGGCAGTTTAGTTCAGTGGTTCCCAATCTAGGGGTTAGGCCCCTCCAAAGGGTCACAGATAAATCTGAAGGGTTTTAAGATGATTAATGGGCTAGTAACAAAGACAAAACTAAAGTTCTGCAAAAAAATTGGACTTTTCTCTAATCTTTATATCAAAACAATTTTCAAAATGAAACCATATATCTTTAGTGCAACTGCTAACAACTCAGTGACATCTGAAATGTGATCTTGCACCCCAACTACACAATGTGTTTGTTGGAAAGCTTCGGTTGGGCACAACTTGTTCCACAATATAGTACATGTATATAAAATCTTAATCTGAGAAGTAACTAGTAACTAAAGCTGTTAAATCAATGTAGTGGACTAAAAAGTGAAATATTTCCATAAATGTAGTACAAAGAAATACTGAAGTACTAAATTTGACCTACACACAGTACTGGAGTAAATGCAATTAGTTAGCGTCCAGCACAGTGTAATTGTGATGGAAAAAACCCAAATTATTTTGCGGTCAGATGCAAGTGCCTGTATATAGAATGGTTTAGATACACAGTATTAATATGCTAAAAGCTCTCTTGCTCTTTCTTTTTCACTGTCCAGCTGGCTTTCTTTAACACTCACATAAGGGGAGGGTGGCAAATCCCATCAACGACACAGCAGTAGACAAACTGTGTGATTGGAGGAAAGGAGGCACTGACATGCTGCCGGTGTTGTATGATGGAATCTTTCTCTTAGTATTTATAAAATCCTATACACTACGCAATGTTTGATGAAATGAAATCAGTCTGCAAAGCACAGCAGGACGTCTCATATTAAAACATACCAATATGTTGCTGGAAAAGCACTTATCTTGACTTTTTGGTATTGATTTTTAAGAGAGTAGACTGAAATAAACCCGTTGCCATGGAGGCAGGTGGGTGTTTCTGTACATGGCTTGTGCAGACTTGTCTTTCTGTGATTAATCTGTGAATTAAAATACGTCATTTGGCCTTTTTAGGACCCTCAGATTCAGAAGTAGAAAACATTACGCAACATATCTTTTTTTCTCCATCAAAAGAGAATCATCATGCCAGTGTTTTGCCAATAAGGTCATCACATCCCACTCATATTATATAATTAGAAAACTAGAAACTAGGAGATTCAAAGTGATGGACTCAATGATACCAGTGTACATGTAAATCGAAATCATGTCTGGAGATAAATAAATTAATAAAAATATGAACAAAAACTTTCAGAATATGACCATGTGTGGTTTAGCATGTCCTCAGAAAGAAAAATATTTCCATATGTAAACAAATGTGAAATCTAAGTCTTAAGCATTCAAAACAGTGAGAGGGAGGAAGGAAACATGTTGCTAATTAACTAAGCAGAATTAATTCATTAATTCTAGTTTCTTCCCTTGTTGTCCAACAGATATGACTACATATTTTTTCGGTCTGTATCTCTGTATATCTGTGCCTGCTTACTCACTGGTGACACACACTCAGGAGGAGGAAGGGGGGGGAAGCTCACTGGTGTTTAGTAATTTGAAGGAGAAAAAACCCACAACAGTAGTGGGGGCTGAAAGGTTTTAGCAGAGCACAGTCGGGAACCGACTCATTCTAACTGTCATCGTGGTTGTGATATTAAAATGGGCCAATGTTGGAAAAAT